CCTCTCCCTCTCTCTCTTTTTCCACCTCCTCCTCTTCTTTTCTTTGCTTCCTTCTCCCTCTCCTTGGCTCTATTTCTCAGTGATGCCTTCTCTCCTGCACTGAAGACAGACTCCTTAGACCCCCTCACACCTTCCCAAGGCCCACGCCACTGCCCGGCGTCGCAGGGGCTCTCCCACTATGCACAGTCCTCATCTGCTCTCTGAGCCCCACGCCACAACTTCTGCTGGGGGTTTGCTATTTCTGGAAAGCAGCTTTCTTAGCCTCACTCTTCTGCACTTCTTCACTATGCTTCATAACAAAACTCATAAAAGTCACCTGTATTCAAGACATGTGCTCCACACCCTCTCATCCTTCCTGAACCCCACTTCAATCACAGTTTCATCTCCATGACCTCAATGAAATCGCTCTCCTTGGAGTCACCACTGATTTCTACTTTGATAAAATCACTGACCAGTCTTCAGTTCTTTCCATGCTTGACTTTCCACATATAGCCTGCATAATCACTCTTATCTGCTTGCAAAGTGTTCTTAACTTCTCAGACACGGCACTGCTGGGTTTCTTCATTCTTGCTGGTCATTCTTGCCTGGCCACCTTTCCTGATGGGTGACCTTTATGACCTCTGTGACCTTTTACTACTAAATTTGATAATCTTGAATCTCAGCCTTTCTCTCCTCTTCTCCATCTCTCCAGCATCTCTCAATATCCTGAGAGTTGGTTTCTAGACATCTGAAGAGTGCCAAAACCCACGACATTCCAGTCCCTTATACGAGGTGGTATGGCATTTGCATAGAACCTATTTACATCCTCTAGTATTCTCTACATCACCTGTATATGACCCTTTAATGGTTGACTGGTCATGTCAAGTAGTTTAGAAGTTTAAATTAAGGCAGCTCAGTAATTCTACACCCTACAGGGTAGAGGACCCACCCTGAATGATGTAAAGAGAAAAGGCGAAAGGATGGACTTGCTTCTGTTCTTCAGAGCAGCTCCAGCCACGCCTTCAGCTCGGACTTCATCTCCTGGCTTCTAGCACAGACCCTTTGGCTTCCACCTTGGGTCCTCCAGCCTTCTGGTGTAGACTCGTCAGCCTTCTGTTGCAGCCTTCTGTTCCATCGGCCTCCTGGTACAGACTTGCACAGAATACTGCCGTGAGCTCCAGACCTTGGATTGAATCCTTCTATCTCCGGTGTGCAGACTTCCCTGCAAGCTTCCTCATCCGACTCTGTGGCTGACCATTGTAAGCCAAATTATAATTTCCTTTGCATTTGTGTATCTTGTGTTGTATCTGTTTCTCTAGTAAACCCTGACTGATGCAGACCCTAAACTACCAAATATAATGCAAAGGCAAATACTGCAATATGGGAATAGTTGTTACACTGTGTCGTGTAGGGAACAGTAACAAGCAAAGTGTATATATGATTAGCACAGAAGACACACTGTTCCTGGTGGTTTTGATTCTCAGTTGTGTTAATTAAGTCTAGGGATACAAAACCCACTGACTTAGATGGCAAACCGTACTTCCTCCTTTGATCATATTTTTCCATTTGGTGGCTTTAGACATCATGTACATGTCAACTGTCACTTGGTAACACACAAATTCCCAGACCAATCTCTCCAGACATGTGCATTCTGCCACCCACAAGAGCTCACTGCTTTTTCAGATTATCACACCAACAGGCAACATTCCAACCTTTGTCGGAAACCAAGCAAACCTGTTTCACTTGCAGCCCTTTCCGTCCTAACCCCATTTACTCAGGCCCCAAACTTTGGGGTCATCTCTCGCTCCCCATTCTCTTCTGCCACATTCAATCCACTGAGAAGTTCCATGGACCCAACACTAAAGTGTACCAAGCACCAAGAGTCTTACCATTACGCACGCACCTCAGCAGCGCTCTCACTTCTCAGCGAGATTGCTGTGGGTCTCCCTCCCCACCTTCCTCCTCTTCCTCTCTTCCCCTGTGGTATATTCTCAAGCCTCAACCAAAGTGATTCTGTTCGAATGTGCCAGATGGTAGGATTTTTCCACTAAAAATTATGTAAGATCTCCCACACAACAGAGGGGTTAGTGCACTTACCCCGGCATGCAAAGGACTGCCCCATCTGATCTCTGTGACCCTAGTGAGCTGGGGCATCCTTCATTCCACTGCAGGTTCACCAGCCTCCCTTGTTTTAAGCGGACAGATTTAGACTTACCACAAGGCTGATTCCCCACTATCCCTCCACTGAAACAGAGCTGCCCAAACACCCACAAGTCTCACTCAGAACCTTCTAGTCCTTGGTCATACATCCCTTCCACAAGGCCACCTTCCTGACCACCTTACTTGAAATTGCACCGTGACTCTTCCTTTCCTGCCACCTGATTTATCTACTTTTATTCTACACACAATGCCCTTTCCTAAACACTATATATTTTATATTATATATAATTTAAATATAACCATATAGGATTATAATTTAAATAGTTATATACAGCTGCACTATAGCTTATATATTAAATGTTCTATCTCTTTATTACGCTGCGTTATTATCTCTCCCACCTCGAATGTGGGCTCCAAGGGCGGGAATGTGTGTCTGCTGTGCTCACTACTGTATCTCTGGTACTGACGGAAAAAAAAGACAGAGCAATCAGAGGCCTAGTGTAAGGGTCTGTCTAGAGCACAGCTATTGAGGGTGGAGTCCAGGCCCACCCTATGGTGTACTGGAGGTAGACAGGGGCAATCCGGAGTGCACGCTGGGCCTGAGGACCTCTCAGAGGACAGGGACACAGGGAGTTTCAGGATGTGAAGACGGTGGAACCCTGCAAAGAGCAGCATGAGCACGATCACAAGGTGGGAAGCAGATAACAGCGTCGTGTGCCCAGGGGACGGAAAGCGCGTCAGCGCGACTGTGTGTGGTGGTCCGTGGGATGGGGCTTGGCTCTAGTCCAGTCCATCATTTAGTTAGTCAGCAAACACTAAGCTAGAGCTCTTCTTAAAGTGTTTTGTAGTTGTGATTAAAGTCCGCTTTGATCACCAGTTGGCTTTAAGGAAAGGAGATTTTTCTAAATCAGACATATCCAACCCACAAGTGTTCCGCTTATGTACAGTAACTATAGTGTATATTTCATATGCGGCCGGAGCCAATTCCTCTGTGCTCAGTACAGCCTAGGTGAGCCAAGCGCAGGAAGCTGAGGCCTCAGAGAAGAAGAAGAGTTGCATTCCCGCTGTGGACAGGAGATTCCGCTCTGGCCAAGTCACAGCCGGCTCTTCCTGACAGCCTGCTCTGTGGATTTCAGCCGCAGCCAGCCGGTCCCCATGGCAATGGAGGCTTCTTTATCACTTTTCCCCAACTTCTACTTTTCTGCCTGAACCCTAACTGATACATCAGAGCGCTAAGGGTTAAGGCAGACAGTGGCAAAGCACAAAGGATGAGGGGGCGGGGAGGGTGGCCAGGAAGGGCGTTTGCTTCTAGCCTGCTAAGAGGCTTGAACTTGATGCTTTGGGCAGTGAGACAAGTCAGACAAATCACGCAGTCTGGGACAGAGGCAAATCCTTCTGATTCTGTTATGAAGGATTTACTGACAGGCGGCATGAGAAAGACACAGGTGCTACTAGTTGGGATACCAGGAAAGGGCTGCAGGGGAGAGAATTAAGAGGAGATTATTGACAAAATATTGCCTAGGATTGCTGGAGAACAGTGTTTTGGGATGGACGGAGCATGTGGTCTGCCCTGGGCTGAAGCATCTATGCTTTTATGGCAAAATAAGGGCCACTGAGGTCCTCAGGGACAGCTACACAGGGCAGGCAAGCCAGACACTGCATTGTGGGCTCTGGGGGCTGAGGACTGGCAGCAAATGGGAGAACAGATGAAAGGTAAGTACGCCTCCTGGAGGCCGGCTTAGGGGGAGGAGGGGACGTGACAGGGGAGAGACGATGCGGTGTCATGGGAAGAGGCTGGGGATGAGGGGAGTCGCGCGCCCACACAGACTGGGCAGGAGTAGCCAGCACACAGGAAGGGCTAAGAGATGAGAACAAGGGCACGCGTTACCCGAAAAAGCAGAGGGAGCCAGGGCTCCGGGCCCAGAGGAAGGCCTGGGGAGGGGCAGCCTCGGAGACCCCGTGCCTTCTGCAATCTGCAGGTAACTGGAGGAAGCTGGAATCAACAGTGATGGGTCTGAAGATGGAGGTGGAGGGACGCCCAGTACCTCATGCCCAAGAAGCTAGGATACTTTTGCACAGGTTAGGAAAGAAGCTTATAGTTCAGAGGGAGAAGACAGACCTGTGAAGGGCAGTAGACCGGGCTGGGGGTCCATGGAGCTGGGTTACCACCTGCTAGGACCCTACAGAGCAGAATCAGCATGGTGTGAGAGGTAAGCACACGGCTTCCCAGTTCCTTCTGACCCCAGCCCCGGCCTTTCCTCCACAACGAAACTGCCTAGTATGCAGTGGGCACGCTGTAAGTGTTTATGGGACGCATACTGAAAGAGCCCCTCTTCTAAGCAGGCCCAGGGAGCCTTTTCGCTAAACAGCCTGCTCTAATGTAGGATTCTTTAATACTTTTAAGAGCTCACAACTCCTTCTCAGAAGCCTTGAAAAAGAGCAGAATGACCCCGGCCTCTTTCTCTGACTTCAGGAGGATTTGGCCAAGCTCATGAGATAATTTGGGTATCAGAGTGGGCATTGTTAGCTTATCTTAGAGCAAATCATCAGGCAAATGGTCAAGTGTGTATGCTGTCATACAGCAATTTCTTTCTGAACTGAGCAGGAGTTTATCACTCTGATTTTCATTTAGATTTTGCCATTGTAGGTGGAATACAGCTTTAACTTTCTCTGATACATGAGCCTCTCTCTTCTTACTGGCCCTGGTGACATTTACCATCAACTGAAGAGCAGAGAGGGAGACAAACAAGACTTCTAAACCAGAGTGAACTTAACAGGCACGATGCCACAATAAAACCCTAAGGCAAGCTGTGCCTACTCACAGTCCCCTTGAGTCCCCATCCACCTTCCCTGGGTCTTACCTGCGTGGAACACTTTGGCTTTTCCATTAGTGATTCCAGAAGAACTCGCTTCCATCTTTAGTGTCCGCCTGCCCGGTGGGAGTGAGGAGTGCCTGACCACAGGCGCACGACGACGACGCGACCCTGGGCGGCTTGCCACACTTCGCCGTGGATGGATTTGCAAGTGCTTTTCAGCCCCATGAATAGATAAACTTAAACCTGGAATGAGAAATACCCCCATTAGACCAAAGAAGCCCATGCTCAACAGCTAAAGTGGCAAATTTTGTTCTGGCAGGACTTCCAGAGAATGCAAGCAACTGTGTCTCTAACCCTTAAGATGTGCCAGCGATGTCAGTAGATTTTTCACATGACTTATTTATTGAACATTGCTTTTTAATATTTTTCATTTTTTAAGAAAGTAAAAAATAGTAAAAAAAAAAAAAACCATTAGAAACAATATACAATTTTACTAAACAAGACGATAGGAATTCAACGATGGTTGTCATACTGCATATTGTTTTCAAATTAGTTGTTCAGATTACCAGATAATATCATGCAAAATGGGTCAAAAGAAGAAAAACATGTAAGTGCTACTGTTCCTTTCAATAGAGCAGTAGAAATTAGCAGTTCAATTACCTAAGCTACCCTGTGTACACATCTATATGTTCTATTTTATTTATTTAATTTTTTGGCAGAACCAGGGATTGAATTCAGACCCTTGTGCTTGCCAGGGAAGCGCTTATTCCACTGAGCCATCTCTCCGGCCCCTACATCTATATGTTCTTCCCTCCCTTCTTTCTTTCCTTTCTTCTGTCCCTCAGCCTGGTTGTTCCTTCCCTTTGAACAGTTTCTTTCCCTTTCACATTACCTATTGCATCTTTTGGATTTTATTTACTCTTTCAGCTTTCTACACTGGTAGAGAACAGATGTTCCCACATGTGGGTCTGAGTTGTTCCACTTATGAATGTGGTCTCTAGTTGTTCCCATTTACCCATAAAAGCCTTGTGTTTGTCCTTTTAATGGCTGAGTAATACTCCATTGTATGAAAATACCACATCTTTTTTTATCCATTCCTCAGCTGATGGGTATTTGAGTTGTTCTTTCATTCAAAAGTGAACACCCTTAGTTATCACAAGAAAACTTCTATGAATGAATATTCAATAAATTCAAATATGAATTTCCTGTTGATGTTATTTCCAATATACTGTAAAAATATACATGTGTTTGACATGCTATTGCCAAGTACTGTAAGTTTTAAGAATTGTTGCTGGGATATTTTAACAAAAATCAATGATCATTCTCCTTGGGATTCACTGCTAGGCCAGAGTCGGCAATTAAGTGCCTGTTTACACCTCTGTTAACCTAGAATTAAGAGCATTTTTAGAAGCATTTTGTTCTAAAAATAAAATAGGGCAAAATAATTGAAAATATACCAAAAAATGAAGACACTAGCATATGAGCCCCAGGTAGCCACTGCCCATGACAAGAACCCAGACTTTACCAATCTTGTTTGATCTCTTCTTCTGCCTTTGTGGACAGTTTGTTTCTTTAGTGCTGGAGTTGAAAGTAAACCCTAGACATCGTGCCGAGTTCATCAAAAGCTCTGTTGATTGCCTTGATTTACATCCATCACATCAATACAGATTACGGATGCTGCTGCACATAAACCACACAAAAATTCTGAGTTCTAAAGATACTTTTAGGGGCCAGGGAGATGGCTGGGTAGAATAAGAGCTTGCCTGCCAAGCACAAGGGCCTGAGTTCAATCCCTGGTTCTACAAAAGAATAAAAGATACTTTTTAAAAAACCCCACATATTGATCACCATTGGAGGTTGCTACAATGTCAGTTCATTACTTGGAGAACTGACAAAGGGAAAGATGCAAGCACGCACTGGGGCGTTCCTTCACTAGTCATATTTCAAAGTTTCCAAGCGGTTGATAAGAGACACTTCCTCACTATAGAAGAATTCCTGCTAATAAATGCTAAATACAACTGGAAAAAGAAAGTATAAAATCATTTTAGAAGTCCCAGTGAATATGGACAGTGACACGATTTGTCCAATTTGTCCAACAATTTCTGCAAGGACAGAGTTGAAATTCAAACTCTTAGAAAAATCCCACTCTGTTCTTCAAGAAAAAGGCAAGGAAAGATATGAGCCTTATAAGGCCACTAAGCCAGTGGGAACTTGTGAGGAATCATGTTATCTGAAAGGCAACAGCTAAGCGCCACCAAATTGCAAAAATTTTTATTAAGAATCTGTTGAAAAGGAAGGCATAAAATAATTGGTTTATGGATTATAAGCACTCGGAGAGCACGAGTCTGCTAAAACTCAGACCTGGGGGAAATGACAAGCTTTCCTAGAAGCAAGCTTGCCACCAGCAGCCGTGGGCCACGCTACAGGTATAAACACTCACCTTAAATTCTACGGGGGGCTAGAGGGGACAAAAGGAAAATGACTGAGCCAATTTGTAAATTCTAACAGATCTTATGGGAGGATAATTCATGTTAGAATGTGGTTTTCTCAGACCAAGAAACATTCAGACAAACCACAGGGTGGTTGGTGCTTAGCCAAGCAAAAGCCTTGAAGTTTAAGAATGCCAGTGGCACAGCCAGACCATAATGGTGTTCACTTTCACTCTGCTTTGCCACTAACTGCCTTAATTCAGACAGCATGTGCCAGACCCCTGCCCCTCAGGACTAGGACTTGGCTTCCTGTATAGGAAGAGCACAAGTGTGAGTGTCCCGATGACCAGCAGTCAGGGTTCTCTGTGTGAGCTAAAGAACTAAGGTCCCAGGCTTCTGCACAGCCATCTGCTCCTGAATTGCTGAGAATGAGTCTGTCCCCACGATCCAGTTTCTGAGCCCATGGGGCTGTCTGTGAGCCTGAGCCTCATTCTTGGAAGGTTTTCCCAGGCCTGCCCGGTGGGGGCCCCGTGGCAGACAGCATGACAGTCTTCGCTGGCAGGGTAAGCCTGTTCCGATGCTGCCCGCGTGCCAGGCACATGTGAGCCCCACTCCCAGATGGGTGTCAGTGCGCTGTGCTTGCTCCCACCCTGGTCTGTGACATTGTTACATGTCCCCCACTTCCACTGGGGCACAGGCTGAATGTCTGCAGACCTGGCAGGGCTCCAGAAAAATCCAGACAAACTTGTAGGTGACAGATGATAGGGGCAGGAGACACATTTTAAGTCAACAAGAGGTGATGCATGTAGCCTCAGGCTGCAAACGTGAAACAAGCCACTCTCCATGAACACCTCTTTCTGTCTGCTTTGTGGAGAGTCATCGGGCTGAAGGAAGCAAGACTGTGACTCAGCAGGGCACTGTGAGTCCTTATGTAACTCCCCTCCACAAAGGACAAAATGACAAAAGCGAGAATGAAAATTACACTGTGGCCCAGGCACTTGACACTGTTTAATCTTATGTTTAAAACATATAATATGGCAGAGCATAAGGAAAATATTGAAAATTAAAAATGATGCACGAATCTTATCAGGAAAGGATGCAAGTGATGAAGGTGCATGTGTTATGCTGGAACTGGAGCTAGAGGCTTCAAAGGGACAGAGAAAGGGCAGGGGCTGTCAGTTCTCCTCCTCCAAGGGCCAGGACCACAGGAAAAGAGATGCAGAGATAAACAGCTGGTACTCAGGATCCCAGAGATGCTCCAGGCATTTGAAAATGTGAAGATGTGTAGAAGACTCAGAAGCCAGTAGAGGAGAGATGAACTATCACTCAACAAATTGTATCATCCAGTTTTTTCTTAATTACTCTAAAAAAAAATTGCTGGTGCTGCTTATCTATGGGATGCCAGGCACTGGGTTTGGATCTTGAGCACCATCTTGTTAGTGTCTGACCACAACCCTGAGAAACAGAGGAGTGGAGTCTACATTTCTCAGATCCAAACCAGAGGTTCGACAAGGCTCTTGTCCAAGGTCAGAGAGAGGGATTCACTGGGATTTTAGCCCTGTTCATCTCAACAAGGCCACATACTCTGACAAATAAAATGTCAATACAGAGGCAGAATGTATGACATCTGCAGTGGTTCTGAATGCCTGAAAAGGTTTATCCAGGCAGAGACTGGGAGGCCCACAGGATGGCACTCCCTTGACCTAAGCCCTTCTGGAACCTTCTCTCTCCTTCCTTTGCCATATTGGGCTCATGATACCATCTATGCTGAAATGTCCCCTTTTCAAAATAAGGTAACACTTAGGAATCCCAGAACAGGGACACATATTTTCCCAGTCTCCTATATAGGCTGTTCCTCAGGTTTCCACTCTGGCCTCCTGTTTGTTCCACCCTATTCTTTCCTGGGGATCTCGGCAAACCCTGAGTGATCTTATACAGCGTTGCCAGCCCTGTTCTCTGTGCAGTGAGCCTCTCAGGTCAGTCTTCCTGCTTTGCTGCCTCCTGAACTCAAGCTTGCTGTTCCTGTTGCGTCTGAATGTTCTAAGAAACTCAATGACTCCATAGAAACCCAGTGTTTCTCATTTTGATTTTAAAAAATCCACCAAAGCTCAGATTTCCTTTCAGATCTTCACATCTCTACTACTCAAGTATCTTTCTGATTTTTTATTCTCAATAAAATTGAATCCTATGGTGCCCTTTCACTCCGGCCCATCTCCAAGGGTAGAGAGGGGGAGGGGAAGGGGCATAGGAAGAATTAGGATGTGTTATGTGCGTATACCATGTTCCCCTGAGGAATGTAATTGTTACACACTACCAACACTTGCTAATGCAAATACAATAATAAAATGGGCTGCGACCTTCCCACGTCCCAGGGAGAAAGAAGGACAAGTGCACAGAAAGGCGCACAGGTGAGCTGGCATCTGAGTTCTTAGCCTCAGGACCATTCCCAGTAGTGCGGATGGAATTCGTGCCACCTCAGCAAGGTGGGCACTGTGGCCCCAGAACCAATGGATTCTGAGGAGCTTTGAGTGCCATCAGGTAGCTAAGTAAGTTGAGGAGAGCTCCACTGGAGGGACACATGTGACCTGCAGGACCCCAGAGATGTGACGACAGAGGCTCGGGCCGCTTGGGCTCGGCGGGCCTGTGGCCAGCACTTGCCGCAGCCCTGTCTTCCTCCACCAAGCCAGTACCTGGGCATGCTGTGTCTCTTCCTGTTTCTCTTCTTGTACCACCAGGCTTTTGGACAGCTTGACATTAGCTTCTTGCCCACATCTGGCAGAACCAACGCCTCAAAAGCAGGAGCAACTTAGGATG